AGGCCATGGAGGCGGGCGCCGGGGCTGGCGCGGGCGCCGCGGGCTGGAGCTGCCCAGGTCAGAGGCACCCCTCCCTCACCTCCCCACTGCCGCTCCTTCCTCTTCTCCATCTCTCCTTCCTACAGACCCCCACCTCCTCCCTCCCTCCGCTGCTCCCACCTTTCCCTCCTAAGTCTTTCTCCCTCCATCCTGCCCCTCGCCCGGGCCCGGTCTCCATCTTTCCCGGCTGGGTCTCCTGCTACCGGCCGCATCCTCCTGGCAGTTCCTTCCCTGAGCCCCCTCCATCTCGTCTCTCCAGCCTGGTGGTGCTTCCAGCCCTGGGGGCTCCTGCACCCTCTCCCGCCCCGAAGGCTTCTGAGCGCGGAGCGAGGGTGGGGCGGGCGAGGTTCAGGGAGGGGAGGGGAGCGGCTCTGGCCCAGACCCCTTCCCACAGCGCCACCCCCACCCCATCACCTGCCTCCCCTTCCACGCAGCACTTCACCCTTTCAGCCGCTTCTTTACAGCACCTGTCCCTTCTCCCATCCTTGCCCTTCTCCTCCTGTCCCCTCTGAGCTCAAGAGCCACACACCCTTTCTGTCTGTGCAAGGGAGAAGAGCCTGGAACAAGGGGTGCTGAGGAGGTTGGGCGGCGCAGGGCGGGGTCCCTGCAGGCCCAGCTCAAGGGGCGGCTGAGCGTGGAGTCGCTGCACTGGGCAAGCGAGCCAAGCACTTCCAAGGGGATTAAAGCCCCCAGGGCTCCAAAGGGCTAGAAGGCATGTTCTCTTCCCTGCTCCGCAGCCCCTAGCATCCCACAATCCCTCCTCTCTTTCTGCGGGCAGGACCCACAGTGACCACTTTAGGTTCCTACGAGGTGTCTGAGGGCTGTGAGAGGAAGAAAGGCCAACGCTGGGGGTCCTTGGAGCGGCGGGGGATGCAAGCTATGGAGGGTGAGTTTTCCCAGAGAGCTTTCTTTCTCTCCCCATTGCCCAGTTTCCCTTCCCTTTTCCCTCCCCCTCCTGATCCCCAGCACTCTGGGCCAGGACACTGCCCTTTCCCCAGTTCATCGGAGCTCCCTCCGCCCCTCCTCAAGGCTCAGGCTTTGAGGGAGGTTCTGGGAGGTTCTGAGGCCCTAATCACCAGCTAACCAGGTTGTGTGTCCCAGGGGAGCTGCCAGAGAAAGAGGCCTGGTTGGACAGAGCTTTGAAGCAGCCTTTCAGCAGGGGGTTTGTTCTCACTGCCTGCCGACCCAGATCCCAAGCTGTCTCTTATTTTGAAAAGCAGGGAAATGAGCATGTGAATTGTCTTTCTGGTTCCACCATCACTAACTACATATACAAGCCTTGTGGCTTTGGTTCTCTAGGATAGCTACTGCCTGAAAGAGACTGCCTGGGAGAGGGGCAGGTGAGAGGGCCAACCTCTCAACACTCATGTGTCTCCATCACACCCATGCGACCTGGTAGTTGCTGCCAACACCAGCCCCCTGAAAGGATGCTGATCCATTTTCTAGGACTTCCTACGAAGCGTCCCCAGGTCCCTGTGCATACTCAGGGTGGGCAACCCTGCTCTCTCAAGGGGGTACAGATGATGCATAGGGTCCCAGATGAACCTTAGGCTGCTGTTATTAGAGAACGACCAGGGATTCAGAATTTCAAAACAAACGATCACCATCTAGACGAGAGTTTTGCTATTTAGAGGAACTGCATTGCAGCAAAGGAGGGGATGCTTACCAACCAGGGGCTGGGGACTAGCACATTCCATTTTTTTAATACATTAAAATGGCAGGCCTGCTTTTACACACAGGTACCTCAGACTTCCCCCTGTGTAGTCAGCAGGGGGAGTGGCCTCATAACATTCAGGGAGGGGAGAGGAACCATCTCCTCAACACACACACTCAGTGGAGAAAAGAGAGGTGGACATTGTCTCCCCAACACACACACTCAGCAGAGAAAAGAGAGGTGGATGTTGTAGAAAGTTTTAAAAAAGCTATTTGATAGAGCGCATTTGAAAGAGCCCCCCAGATTCAGTAAAACATTTAGAATCACTCCATTTAGGTGTTTTCTTTCTCTTCCTACTGACAGGCAATGGTTTCTTATTATGGAAAGACTAATTTCTCACAAGCCACCTAGATAGTTTTTTAACTTTCTACAAAGCCCCAAACTGTAACTCTTGCCTCATTTGGCCTAAAGACACGTCCAGTGTCTGAATCCTTTCTTGACTACTTGTCCCACTACGCAGAGACCAGAACTGGAAGAAGCAGGAATCCTTATGCAAGCGTCACATGGCTGAGCCAGCCCCCAGCTGCTCGGTTGGCCCAAGCGCAAGGCAGTAATAGGAGGCCACCAGGTGCAGCACTGGTCCACAAAGGGCCTGGGAGGGGAATGGGCCACCTCCAACTGTGACCACCACATCTGAGGACTCATGAGTGCAAGTCCTGCCCAGGAGTTCCTTGAAGGACACCAGGTGGCACTATTATACCAGTCCTGAGACAGTGAGTTTGAGGGCCCTCGCAGGACTGTGGAAAGGAAGTTGGTTCTGACTCCTGGTGCGATGGGTATCTGTCCTAGGGGAAGTGTTACTCCCAGCTCTCTATGAGGAGGAAGAGGAGGAGGAAGAAGAGGAAGAGGAGGTGGAAGAAGAGGAAGATCAAGTGCAGAAAGGTGGCAGCATGGGCTCCCTGTCGGTCGGCAAGCACCGGGGCCTGAGCCTCACAGAGACGGAGCTGGAGGAGCTGAGGGCTCAGGTGCTACAGCTGGTGGCAGAGCTGGAGGAGACCCGGGAACTGGCAGGGCAGCATGAAGATGACTCTCTGGAGCTGCAGGGTGAGTGTCCATGAAAAGGCCAGAGGGCCTGGGCCCAAAGGCTCTGTGCTCACTGGATCCCCGGTGCCATCTCCCCCTCTAACTGCAGGGCTCCTGGAGGATGAACGGCTGGCCAGCGCCCAGCAGGCAGAGGTGTTCACCAAGCAGATCCAGCAACTTCAAGGTAATTCCTAGCCCTGAGGCTGGAGAGGCAGTGGCCATCCAAATACTTCTGTCCTGAGGGTTTGGCTGCAGCAAAGCAGACAAACATAATCCAATTCAGTACTTTCTCCTCTTTTTTCTCTTCCATTCTCGCCCTTTCTCCTTGTCTCTCCACTCTCCTCCTAATTTCCCTTCTTTTTGCGTCTCTGCCTGGCTCTTCTGTCTTCCCCTTCCCTTTCTTGCCCTTCTATTTCACCCCTTCTATCTGTGGTTAACTCTCTTCTTTTTCTCTCCTTCAGCTGCCTCCCTTCACACATGCATCCCTTTTCCTTGGTTCTCCTGGTCAATGCCAGGGGTGGGTGATCAGGACTGAATTCCAAACCAGATTGCTTTTTCTGTCCCTCCAAGGGCACCATGGGAAGAGCAGCGAGCCAGTGAGAAGTGATTGGAGGGGGGTCTGCATCAGATGAGAATGCATCTCTTGCTCCCTAGGTCCAGAATTTGTGGCCCCCAGATCCCTTTCTTCTAATGCCCACATTCCCTTTGTCTCTGGGAAGCAGCAAAGCAGGCGTCCCACATTCCACTGCACCACCAAATAGGCAGCTTTTGTCACTTCTGTGGGCTTCCGGAAGGTTTAGGGGAGCTGCCCTAGAAAACAGCAGGGATTTTCCAGGGAGAACAGAGATCAAGCCAAAAAAAAAAAAGTATAAATGGAGAAAAAAGGAAGGCCAGGAAGCAGGCCTGGAGAGGAACATGCAAAGGTCGAGGAGAGGGAGGGAAAGATGTAAGCAAATGTAGATGCAAAAGCAGACGATGCAGCTGGGAGGGCAGAGGACAGGAACAGAGCGGATGTATTGCACGGGGCAAAGAGTGTGAGCACTGGCTTCAGATTACCTATATTCTTGGGCCCAGCTCTGCCACATAACAAGCTTTGTGCTCTTGGGCAAGTCACTTTTATCTTTCTGAGACTCGGTTCCTCATCTGTAAAATTTATTTATCAACCATTTGTGGAGTGCCTGTATACTTGGAAGACCAACTATGAACAGGACAGACCAGATCCTTGCCCTAAGGAAGAGTATATTCTAATTGGGAGAGGCGGAAAATAACACAAGTTCAGGTGACAATAAGAGCTATGAAGACAATATAACAATATGATAGACATGGAGTGAGAAGGGAGTTTATTTTTGACAGGGTAGTTAGAAAAGTTCTCTTTGAGACGATAACATTTGCACTAAGACCTGAATAATGAGAAAGATCTGAGGGAAGAGCACGTCAGGCAGAAGGACTAGCAACTGCAAAAGCTCAGATGCAAGAAAGAACATGTATTTGAAGGACAGAACAAATGCCATTGTGGCTGAAGCAAAGTACACGTGGAGGATCTGGTAAGAGAGAGTTCTGAGAGGCAAGCGGAAGCCAGATTTCAGAGGTCCTTGTAGGCCAGCTGAGAGGTTTGGCTTTTATCCTAAGTCTAGTGGGAAGACATGGGAGGGTCTTAGCCAAGGCTGGAGTGATGTGATCTGCTTTACGTTTTTAAAAAGAGCACTTTGGCCACTGTGTGGAAATTGGATGGAGGAAATGGAGTCAAAACAGTGAGTCTGGTCAGCAAGTTATTGCAGTAGTCCATTGAAGAAGTGATGGTTGCCTAGATTAGAACAGTAGAAATGAAGATGATTCACAAGAGATTTTGAAGGTTGAGCCCTCAGGACTTCTGATGAATTGGACAGGGGATAAGAGAGACAAGAAAGATGGCAGCCTTGAGAAACTTGATGGTCGTTGGTGTCCTTTACTGGGAAAGACTTGGCAAGGAACAAGTTTGGGGGCTAGGGGAAGCATTTAAGACATGTTTTCTATGTGTTGAGTTTGATATGGCTATTGACATCCAAGTAAATATGTTAAGTTGAATATATGAATCTAGAATCAGAGAAGAAATTGGAGATGTAAATTTGGGAGTCATTAGCATACAGATGACATTCGAACCTATGGGAGAACATGAAATCACATGGAGAGATACAGGAAGAGGAGAAAAAGAGAGTCCAGTCCCAGGATTACTCCAGTATTTTAAGGTCCAGTATAGAAGGAGAAATGAATAAGAGACAGAGATAGGAGGAACTATGCCTCGATTTACTGTGTCTGAAGTTGCTAAGTCAGGTACGATGGCCATTGAGTTTTGCAAGATGGAGGGCTCTGGCATATTTCAGTGAAGACAGAAGCCTGACTGGATCGGGACTGAAGAGGAAAGGAGGTGAAAGGGAGGCGTGTACAGATAGGTCCAGCAGTCATGTTTTGAAGAGAAGCAGAGAAATAAGAAAGCAGGAAAAAAATAAAGTCAAGGGACAGTTTTTGTTATTGTGGTTTTTTTTGTTTGTTTGTTTGTTTGTTTTTGAGATAGGACACACTAGATCATGTTTGTGTGATGAAGGAAATGATCCAGTATAGCAGAAAAAGGCCTTTGCTTGGAGAAGGGGCATTCTTCCTTTCAGACAAGAGGGAAGTCAGGGGATCTAAGAGACGCAGGTAGCCAACTACGTGGGAAAATAAAGTTCTAGAGCGATTCCCAACTCAGTAGGGTTGTTTCTAGCATTAGATCTCATCCAAGCGGGGGCTGAAAGTCTGGTGAAGGCTCCCCCAGTCCCCACCCCGCGAAAATAGTCCTTGCGCACGTGCGTTGCCGGTTTCCGCTAAGAGGGGGCGCGCGCGACCTCAGAGGTAGCTGGTGTTGCGAGGCCGTTCCGGCCGCCACAGCCCCTCGGGGCCGGACCGGCCTGCGGAGGGAGGCCCCCCAGGGAGACCACTTACGGGGGGCCGACGAGATGGAGGCCATAACCAGTAAGTGAGAACCGACTTCTCTGCCCACCGGGCCCGACTCCCGGGCCCTCGGACTCACCCCGACGGTCCCAGCCCCACTGTCAACCGGCGCCAGCTCTTCGGAACCGGGCCAGGCCCTACTAACTCCCAGCCAGGGTCCGCCCCGCCCGGCTTCCGGATAAGCCCCTCCCTCGGGCCTGCAAGCCCCGCCCCTCGGCCTACGGCGGGTCCTGGCCCTTTGTGTTCCTAATTAAGAGCTTCCTTAGGCTGATGGGGAACTTCCTTCATTTCCCAGTGCATCTGAGCATGCTATCTTTTTTAGGGCTAGACTCCCTAAGGGAGATTTGAAGCCGAACATCAAGGGCATATTAGGGAAGTGGAGATTGGTCAGCCCCCCACAGGAGCTCACCCCAGGCCCTAGGGCCTTTCTCCTAATGTGACATAGGTGTCTCCCCCTCTAGACCGCAAGCTCCAAGAGGCGTAGTGGATAGAACAAGGACTTTGTTCCTTTCAAATAGGAAGGAAGTCAGAGAATCTAAGTGGGAAGATGCTTGGGCTTGGCACAGAAGGGTTAATCCATTAATACTTGTGAGTAGACCAAAGAGAAGAGGCAGCTGGGGTCCTAGGGAAGAAAAGACTGGCAAAAGATGCGCCAGAAGATGCACAGGTGAGCTTGGGAAAGTAGGGCAGGAGACTTTTCCCCCTGTCCCTATACAAATGCCAACTCAGCATTTGTATCTGTAGTACACCCAAATGTTTATTCTCAAGTATCTATGTTCTGTTCTAATTTTTTTTTAAAAAATACCCAAACATGCAATTCTGTATTCGTTAGTACTCAGTAAAAGTTCGTTGACTAGACAAACCAAACCCCTGCCTCATTTATGCATAAGCACAGCAAATATTTATCAAGCTGCATTATGGCAGATACTGTGGCAAATCCTGGAGCTATAATGGTGAGCAAAACAGACATGTTCTCTGCCTTCATGAAGCTTATAACAGAGTGAGGGAGAGACCAACGTTTTACACAAACATACACATACACACAGTGCAAACTACAAGGTGCTTTGAGAGCATTTAGTAGAGGACTGCTTAGTTTTTTGAAGAGGTGGCAGGCTAGGGAAAATTGAAATCTGAAGGGTGAGTAGAAAGAGCAGGAGTTTAGGGTGGACAAGGGATAAGGACAGCGTGACTGCAAAAGTTTTAGAGGAAAGTCCTGACCCTCAACCCAATCCTCATTAATTCCCAAATGCTCAGTCCCAGTTTTGAATTCTCTATTGGTAGCAGTGCCCTTTACTCTCCACTTGTAGGTTCTCCTGATCCCAAATTCGTACCCATGTCCAGAAACCCTAAGATGCTCTACGGACACGGGGAGCTCTGACACAAATCTTTTGTAAATTAAAATCTATTATAAAATATAGGCTTATGAGAATTCAAACAGCACCAATATATATCATATGGAGTGTAAAAGTCCCTATCTCATGCTATCTTGCTGCTCAAAAGGAACTGCTCTTTATGGTTTGGCACATAGATCTTTCCAGATCTTTTTCCATGTCTATGTATATTTGTGTTATATATTTATTATGCATATAAATATTTTTTTTTTTGCAAAAATAAGACTATAAATTTTATAGTTCATTTTTATTTCTAGTTAGTGTATTATGGAAACCTTTTTAGGTCTTCTCTCTAGATCTATCACTTTCTTTTAAATTGCTGCTGATATTCTACTTAACTGTTATCAATTTAAAAAATCCCTCATCGATTGACATTTATTTTGCCATGTTTGGTTATCATGCGATGAACCTACATTTGAATTTCAGCTGTGAACTCTAAATACACGTTGTTTTGGGGCCGCTACTTACCTCAGGCAGTTTATGGGAGCTCTGAGGCTCTATAATTTCTAAGCTCCCAGACTGAATGGATGAGAATAGTCTGTGTAAATTTTTCTAACCAGAACATTTTTGGAGAGACTAAGGGCATCAGTAAAATACTGTAAATTAGATTTGGTCTTTAATTGTCAGGCTATTCCTTAGAAACACTTAATACTTTTTGTTTGCAGTAGCCTAAGTTATCGCTTTTGGTGTCAAGCCTCAAAATCTACTTTTCTACTGTAACTTACTACATAGATTCCCTCTGTTCCCTTTTGAGATATTCCCTTTATTCCATACCAGATGAAACTATTCTTCTCTGATGGCGTAGAGACTAGGTTGTCAGGAGTTTCCAGATGAGAAATAAGTCTACCTTTACCTTTGTGCTTCTAGACTATGGTTAATTAGTTCACTTATCCTCTTGACCATCCGAACCTCTGGGATTTGCAGGCGAGCTACGGTCTCTACGGGAGGAGATTTCCCTGTTAGAGCGTGAGAAAGAAGTTGAACTTAAGGAAATAGAACAGGAGTTGCATCTGGCCCAGGCTGAGATCCGGAATCTGCGACAAGCAGCGGAGGATTCTGCGACTGAACATGAGAGCGACTTGGCGTCCCTGCAGGAGGACCTCTGCCGGATGCAGAGTGAACTCGATGACATGGAGCGCATTCGGGGAGAGTACGAGATGGAGATCACCTCCCTCCGTGCGGAAATAGAAATGAAGAGCTCTGACCCATCCAATAGTTATAGTCTCTCAGATTTCTCTGAGATGCAAGGTATGTGAGCACAAGCCCTCCTCCTGTTCTGTCGGTAAAATCAGGCAGAGAGAGATAGTGAGTAAGAAGATGGTGGAAGGTAACCTTAAATCATGAATTGGGAACCTCTAGAAAAAAAAACCTCCAGGTTGAATTCAAGACTATAAGGGAGAAAAACTTAGCCAGATGTCTCACAGCCAGCCAATCCATAGTCGAGAAAAAAATAGCACCATTGGAGATGTACCCTGAGAATTCTTTCTCGGAGAGCCATCCGTCATTTGTTGATTCAACTCTGCTAACAGCCTTCCTGGAAAAGACTGGAGCTCTCCAGTTCTGAGATGGGAGTACAGGGGCCAGTCACCTTGGGAAACTCTTCTTGTTGCTCTGGCATCATGGCGCTTTGCCTGGACCACTTTCTGGGGAGGCTCCAGTCCTGTTCCCAAGCCCTGGGCTGCTAATTCATTGGCTCCTTTAGCCCTCCCCAAAGTAGAAGCTTTAGGGGGCCACAGATCAGAGCACAAGACAGCTGGAGAGGAAGGGAGGTTATTTCTAGTAATACATGAGGTACTCAAAAGCTCAGAGCCCGGCTTTCAGACAGTGAGTCTCCCAGCTAGTTGCTAGGATTCATGACATCAAAGAGTTTGCCTTTATTCTGAGGCTAGATTGATGATCTTGGTATAATGGGAGGGGCCCTGTATTAGGCCAGGTCAAGCAAAGGCAAATCAATAAGAAACCAAAGAACTGCAGGTTTCTCTACCTGTAACAAGCCTCTCAGAAGAGCCTTTGGACTGGCGATGCTAGGAGAGGGCGGCCAGCCCAGGGAAAAGGCTTGGACGGGACTTGTGCAGCCTTCAGTTCAGCATCTCGGCTCCACCAATTAACAGGATGACTTTAGTCTTGTTATTATCTCTCTGAACTTCAGTTTCCACATCTGTAAAAACTGGTTAATAAAACTTTACAATTAGATGAGATCCTGAAACACGAAAAGGACCTTAGGAAAAAATGTAGAGAAATCTGACTAAAGTGTAGAGTTTAACTAATAGTAATGTAGCAGTGCTGGTTCCTTAATCGCAACAAGTGTACCCACTGTCAGATGTTAACAATAGGGGGAACTAGGTGAGAACTCTCCCAGGGGATTCCGCACTGTCTTTGCAATGTTTCTGTAAATCTGTTCTGTAAAACTATTCTAAAACAAAAAGTTTATTTAAAAAAAAAGGAAAGAAAACCTTACAGAGCTATTTGGGGGATTAAATGAAATGCCTAGCACGTTGAAAGCACTAACATACTAACTGAATCCGAGGCCGAAACCATCAAACCTAATGCTTAGCAGATGGTTGGTTTTCAGTAAAGATTAGTGTCCTTCTTTCCGTCTATGGTAATTTGCAGTATTCCAAGGACTTCTAATTGGAATAAACATTAAGAGTGAATTTCGGGGCATTGAGGCTGACAGCAGGTAAGATAGGCCTTGTGTTCTAATTAGAACAAGTTAGTATTTTTAAAATGTCAGTAGAATTAGTATTCTAAGAAAAATCTTAATCATGAAGAAACAAAACATATGGGTGTTCGTATTACTGCAGCATTCAAAAGTATTGGTACCTGGTACTTAGGGACCTGTGCTGGGGCATTTCAGCCGGATCTCTACTGATGCCTGAGGATGATATGCGGGTCCGGTTGGGATGGGCCCTTCTGTCGGCAGATAAAAGATCGTTAGGAAGAACTCTTGACCACGTGCAGGCCAATGTTTTTGGTGTGGCAATAAAGGAAGTAAAAGGACATTCAGGATGCCTGGACTGTCTCTGAAAGGCCAGGACTGGCAGTGTAACATCTGGGAGCTCACATCTCTCAGTTTTTTGTACTAAAAGTATTATAGGAAGGCAATCAAACAGTTCAGTGGAAACTTTAAATACAATAAACCAAACAATTCAACCCTCACAAGCTCCTAAAATCCTAAGACTCTGTCTCGTTTTTGTTTTGTTTTGTTTTGTTTTTTACACCTATAGCACCTGGTCTTCCTAGGTGGTCTCCCATCCAAGTACTAACCAGGCCCGACCCTGCTTAGCTTCCGAGATCAGACGGGATCAGGCACGCGATTCAGGGTGGCATGGCTGTAGACTGGGGTTTTAAATATGGGCACGCAGGTCAAATCTTCTGTAAAGATGAAAGGAAGGGCAGTCTCTTGAAAGAAGACGAAGCTCTGTCGCAGCGTGGAAATTTCTGGGCCCTGTCTTCTGAGCCTCTGCCTGTGGTATCTCTTCTGTCTTTAGAAAAAGAAGAGCTATTCAGCCTTCTGCTATCAGATTTCTAGGCAGGAAAATTGGGGTCTGGTCATCAGTGCTTCCTCCCTAGGACCTCACTTCTCTCTGCTTGTCCTCTGCAGAAGAATTGCAACAACTGCGGGAACGCTACCATTTTCTGAACGAGGAGTACCGGGCCCTGCAGGAGAGCAACAGCAGCCTCACAGGGCAGCTTGCAGATCTGGAGAGTGAGAGGTACAGCCAAGAGGCTATTGGGGCTCTGTAGGACTGGGCTTTTCCCTGAGTAGAACTGGTGAAGGCAGATGCTGATGCCAGGCTGATGAGCATCCTTCTGCTCCTGGAGAACTGGTCCTTCCCGTGGTGTCCAAAGGATCCAGATACGGCCTAGAAGCAGGCTTGGGGATCTAACCCAGTTGTCTAGAACTAGAGTCGAGTGAGTGCTAAAGTTTAGTTTTCTTCTGTTCTAGCTATTGGGGTCTGGTTTGATCTCCCCTAGAGTAGATTGGAAGTGATTCCTTTGTTGTCCACATGGTCTCAGTTCAGTCTAGTGGCCTCCAGTTTAGAGCTGGCTTGACATCAGGCCTAGCCTCAAGCTCAACTGGACTTACACTCTTAGGGTTTCCCAGAGCCAAACAAGCCTTTGCAGACAGAGGTGCTTGGCACTTCTTCTGTACTCTTCTAGGGTGTTTATTTGAGAGGTAAAACACAATAGAAGACTCTTTACTATCTTTTGCCTAAAATGAAGGCATCGAGACCACACTTGGTAGGTGATGCCAGGCAGAGCTCTCTCCCAAACATGGCTCTGGGGTTGTGGATTACAGGACACGAAGAGCAACAGAAAAATGGCTGCTGGAGTCCCAAACACTAAGGAATATGATGTCAGCAGAGTCTCAGACTTCAGAAATGGATTTCCTGGAGCCTGATCCGGAAACCCAGTTGTTACGACAGCAGCTGCTGGGAGCCGAGGAGCAGATGCACGACATGAAAAACAAGGTAGGGGAGAGAGACCCCTTTCATTGTCTCTCTCCTGGCCCGTGGGGGAGACATCTCCTTAGACACAGGGCTGACAAAAGAGGCATTGCACGATAGCAGGAGATAGTGCTCTGGAGCCTTGCTTGCTTGCCTGATGTAAATATTCTCCCAAGCCTGTTCTTGGAGTGCATGTGGTACATGTAGTAAGTCACCTTCTTATTCTGTTCCCCGCAGTGTAAGGAATTGTGTTGTGAGTTGCAAGAGCTACAGCATCATCGCCTGGCCAGTGAGGAGGAGCAGAAGCGGCTGCAGAGGGAGCTCAAGTGCGCACAGAATGAGGTGCTTCGGTTTCAGACTTCCCACAATGCCACCCAGGTAAACACTGATGGGAAGGGACTTTGGGGAGGGCAGAAGGGCCTCCATGGAGTCGCTGCCTCAGGGGAGGATGAACGCAGAGTAAGGCTGTGCCCTGCTGACTCTTGCCCTGCAACCAGGGCTACAGTCTACTGGAGACGTCACATAGCATTGCATTCTAGAAATGCAAGTCATTATTGAGTGTCTGCCTCAGAGAAGAAACCATACCAGAGACCTGTGGGAGCAACTCAAGATGTCTACATCTGGAAAAGAACCAAACTGGTCTGCTATTTCTTGAGAGTAACCATTCTGCCCACATCCTCCCCACCACAGAACGAGGAACTGAAGACCAGACTCTGTGCCCTGCAGCAAAAGTATGATGCTAGCCAGGATGAGCAGCATGAGCTCTTGAAGGCACAACTCCAACTTCAAGCTGAGCTCCGGCAGCTCAAAATCATGAAATCATCAGTTGTAGAAAGCCAAAGTGAGAAGGTAACAGCAACCAGAGGTGAGGGGCGACTTAGGTGCTAAGAGCTTTTGGGAAGGTGCATAAGGGTAGAGAGTTAAAACGACTCCAGCCGCCGCCTGTGCAGCATCACAGGGGAACTCCGGCCACCCTTGAGTACTACATTAGATGAGAGGCGAGAGGACAACCGGTAAATGAAGGGCAGGAAGAAGTCAATTCTTAGACCGTCCGTGTCTGAGAGCGACTCTGGCAGAAGAGAGAGTGGGTGGCTTGAGCATCCCAGAGGTACTGCCCAAAGCCCCCTCCACCATAGGAGTTACTGTGCCGGCTGCACAAGCTGCAGCTCCAGTACCAGAACCTCATGTGTGAGAAGGATAAGCTGCTGGACGTGCAGCAGCAACTGCGGGAGGACCTGCAGTACCATGAGGCAGAGGTGCAGCGCCTCAAGGACATCGCAGGCTGCTTCCAAGAGAGCACGGAGAAGGTAAAAGAAGCTTCAGGTGAGGGAGAGGGTAGCAAGGCAGAAGCTTCTGGGAGAGGACTGGTATAAAGGAGGAGTGGGGATGCCAGGAGTTCTGTGGAGTGGCTGTTGGTGAGGAGGATAAAGAAGTGCTTAGTAGAAAGGTATGTCAGAGACTCACGACACTCTCAGCTTCCTTGGATTTTAAATCAGAAAATCGGCCTATCAAAAAGAAGCCCTTTTTCTTTCCTAATCCCCAAAATGGAAGCCCCAGGAGGTCTCTGTGTAGAGCCTGTTAGGGACTGGTGCATCTGGGGGAGCCCCCAACGGGATGAAATTGGGGCTGGAAGGGACAGGGTAGGATCCCTTTAGCCCCTGTCTGAGAGGAGAGAGGATAGCCCCTGGGGCTCCTGGGATGATGGCGGGGCCTGCCTTCCCTGCCCCAGAACACAGAGATGCAGTCCCAGCTTGAGGAGATGAAGCAGCTGTACCAGAGCAGCAAAGAGCAGCTGGAACATCAGAAGCACATGTTTGATCAGCTGGAGCAGGACTTCCTGCTCTGCCAGCAGGAGCTGAAGGAGCTCAAGACCACCCAGTCCCTCACAGAGGACAAGGGAAAATGTGCTGATAAGGTAATTGTAATTAAGAGAGGTGAGATCTCCTGGGCACTTCCTCTGGAGAAAGGAGGTAAGGGCAAAAGATGAAGTCATCTATCCGCCCAAGGGGCTTGATGGGCTCTTATCCAACCGCAGCTGAGTGTGGCAAGGCAGGAAACAGAGGCAAGAGTCCCATGCCATTAACTTTAAAACAGTTTGCATTGACCTTGACCCTAGCCACAGCTCGGGATCAGTACATCTGAATCCAGTCTGAACACCTGAAGGTTTTGCACATAATTCCACGTGTAGGGTATCTTGTCATTCGTGGAGAAGAACATACACATAGGCCCATATATATAAATTTTATTGTTAGAACTAGAAAGAGTTCTACACGTACCAGTTTTCTGAGGCAGATTGCAGATACTCTTGTCAGATGGCATGGTCTTGTGCCCAGAACACTGATTGGGTATTAGAAGGACCTAGGCTCTTCCAGGATTTATTCCGTGACTTCAGAGTCATTAAGTCCTCTAAGCTTGAATTTTACCCAATTTAAATTGAACAGAATACTACTATTATCTTACTTCCTTTTAGTAATAAATCCTGGTAGTGATAAATAAAGCCTTCCTTATTCATTTTCTCTATTTTTCATAGTGTGTAAAATGCAAGTTATTATCAATTACTCTGTGTTGAGCACTTTCAGGATCACCAGTAAGGAAATGGGAAGGTGTTAAAGCGTGGTAGAGAACAGGCACAGGATTTTCAAAAAATGGTGGAACAAGTCACATTCTACCAGAAGACTCAGTAGCTCCTGCCACAGCCAACAGCAGGCCGTGTCCCCAGGGAAAGGCCTTCGGGAGACACAGAAGTGGGGAGGTTATTTTGGGCCCCCTAACAGTCCACCTGCCTTTCTACACCCAGGCTTACATTTCCCCTTTTCCCCATTCCATTCCCACTCAACTTAGGGGCCCAGGGGGTCCATGCCTTGCTCATCACCTCCTCTTCCGGTGGAAGAGGAAAAATGCTGGTGTACAGAGCTAGCTTTTTCTCTCTGGTCACAAAACAGCACTGAGATTAGTCTGAGAAGATTTGGGGTTTGGGAATCACGGCATGATTTAGTCTTCTCAACCCAAATTCGGCAATAGCGCCTACTTTTCTAAAGATTTAAAACACGATTGTGAAAACAAAAATGGGAAAAAATTAGTGTGACATTATGACCTTATTGGTAGGGAGCATACTTAGGTCTAAAAAAAAAAATTGAGAGTAATGGGAATAAAAGGAACTAGAATGACCAGCAGGGTAGGAAAATGGCTCATAGCAAAGGAAAGGGCCAGAGGAGAGGGAAGCGGAAAGGGAGAAAGGAGAGGCGTTCATAACACTCCCGCTCAGAATGCTCTCGAAGTGCCCGGTAAAGGAAATGTAGAGCAGAGCCAAACGGCAATCCCGAGCAGGCTGCTGGCGTCCCCCACTCAGTGTCTCGGCCTGGGTGCGCACAGCGTGTCTCGGGTTGATCGGTACAGGGAGGGAGACCCTGGTCAGGTGTAAGAGGCTAGCCGCACAGGCAGAGCCGAGCAGGCTGCTGGCGTCCCCCACTCAGTGTCTCAGCCTGGGTGCGCACAGCGCGTCTCGGATTGATCGGTACAGGGAGGGAGACCCTGGTCAGGCGTAAGAGGTAAGAGGCTAGCCGCACAGGCAGACAACCACCTTGCAGAGTAACCGCCCCTCCATGCTCCACCCTGTCCAGTGTGATGCGCTGCTGTCCAGACTTACAGAATTGCAGGAAAAGTACAAGGCCAGCCAGAAGGAGATGGAGAAGCTGCAGATGGAGCAGTGCGAGCTCCTGGAAGATCAGAGGAGGCTGCAGGAGGAGCAGGGCCAGCTGCAAGAGGAGCTGCACGAGCTCACATTCCCGTTACCCAAATCTGGTCTTGTGCAGAAGGTAACCACAGCCAGGGAATGGCAGCTTACTGTGGAGAAACTGCTTTGAGAGGCTTCCCACGTGTGACTAGGGAAAAAGAAAAGGGTGGAGATCAGACTTTTTCTTTTCCTAACCGACCACTCCTTACGTTTTTCACCACTCTTCTCAAACCGGAAAGCTGATTAGGATTGTACACCTCGAAATACGTTTTATGCTCCAGACTCTGTCCAGCATTTTATATTTAGATAATTAGTCCACCTGGAGAAAATATACTTGAAAGCACATTGTAAACTACCGAATGCATCCATATAGACGAGACCTGCTCATTACTAGCAGGTCTCCTCCACAGCAGGGCTCCCTCCACCCCAGGTGGGCTGTGCAGAGCCAACCCAGAGACTCCCAAGGGAAGGGCCCCCGGCGGGAAGGAGGCAGAGGTCTCTCCATGTGGCCGCCGCAGTTCCTGCCCCCTTCCTTCCACTGTACTTCGCAGAGTCAGGACCTCCTTTCAAAGTTACAAGACCTGTGTGAACTGCAGCTGCTCTACCAAGGCATGCAGGGAGAGCAGGAAAAACTGGTACACAACCAAGAAGTGTTAATAAAAGAACAGTTAGAGCTGCACGGAAAACTGCATCTTTGCAAAGACTCTCGTTTCCGGGAAGTGTTGGAGAATCTGGAAAGTTCCAAATCGCCTAGGTCCTCAAGATATGGTCAAAACAAGGTAACCATAGCAAGAGGCAGGGACAAGTTTCTGGGGGCAGCAGCATGGCAGGGAAAGGGGCTGCGTGGAAGGGTCCAAGTTTGGGGAGGCTCGTGTTGCCAGGAGGAAGGATGAGGCTGAAGCCCTGACCTGCCCCATCCATGACTGCTCATGGGCTCAGTTAAGATGTGGCCCAAAGACCTCACCCCCATGTACGCCCAGCTGCAGCCGTGTGAACACTTAGAACTGGGGTGACCTGAAAGCCTGGAATCACCTGATAATTTGATTCGGTCCCTTCAACATCTCATTTTCCAGATACATAATCCCGCTTCAGTGTTTGCTTGGATTCCTCGGGCCTGACTCGAAAGGTGTCATTCTTTTCTCATGAGCTGGTTGATGGTTGAGAAGTACACTTTTCAAGGATCAAAATCTGTAACCTTTCGGGGTTCTTCCTCAGGCCAATCTGGGACCCTTTATTTCCAAGAGAAGAGGTCCTAGCGTGCGGGAACCTTGGTACCGACCACACTGTCTTCGTTAGAACGTTGGCAGCAATAAGAGCCATGTGAGGGGAGTTAGGCACCAGCAAGGGGTCACGCCGTGAGATTTCCGTACACTGGTGGAGATTTCCATACACGTCTTTCAGGTTTGGGGGATGAAGTTGGTCCGAAGTCTAAGTGGGAGTAAGGAGGAATAGATAGATAGTTTCAATTTCGGCAAAATCAGTCCATTCAGATATTAGCCTGGACAGGGAGATCCAGGGAATAGCAGGCGTCCAAACCGAGATTTAGTCAGATTCCAGGAGCATCAGATCTCAGCCTGGGTAACAGAGACCCAAAGCAGGGATAAAATATTTCCTTAACCGGTCAGATCGCATCCTGGGCATCAGCGGCCAAGAAGTCAGTCTCAGAGGGCCTGGGAAACATGCCCAGAGGCCAGATTCAGAGCTGGGGCAGGAGGTATAGGAAATCGTAGTGAGATCTTGGTTCCAAGTCCCCATCTTCTGAGGAAGGAATTCTTCGTCTGCTCACATTCAAGGCCAGGGCTGATTTTAGAATTGGGGGTAGAGAAGGGGCCTGAGTCTAAAGGTCAGGATAATGGGTACACCTGACTGAGGAGAGGGAAGGATAAGGAACCAGAGTGTTCTCGAGGCCCACTCAGCACTGCTCCAAGGAAAGAGAGATGTAACTGAATGCAGAAACAAGAGAAATGAGAGCTTGGAAATCTTGGAGCGTCTGCCCTGGGGAGATTTTCCCCAGTGATCAAGAAACTGACACATGCCGGTTACCTGTAGGCTAAGTCGAGGACCTAGACTGTGGTGAGACTGGAGTGTAGGTGTGTAGTTCTCTAAAGTGTGCTCTCAGACGTCTGCACCAGGAAGGGTGCAGCTCGGAGGACCGCGGTGTCAGTAACGATACTGTCTCCCTACCCACTCCCGGCAGTCCAAGGTGATCGTCGCTCAGATACGGGTTCTGCAGGATCTGTACGAGACCAGCCAGACTAAGCAGGAACTACTGCAGCAGGAGCAGGGGAGGCTCCAGGAGGAGCAGAAGAGGCTACAGGCTGACTTGCAGCTCTGCCTGGAAGAAATGCAGTTGCTCCAAGCCCAGTCCCCGTCTATAAAAATGAGCCTCGAGTCCAGCAAGAAGAATAGCACAGCCAACAGCAGTGAGATCTGTGAAAAGACTGACAATAACAACCTTGATGGCAACGAGAGCTATCAGAAGAGTTACAGGAGCTCCCAGGCCAGCGATGAGAGCTTTCTCAAGAGCTACTACAGTACCACCAGTGAGACCTGTGTGAAGAGCCACCACACCACCATCAGCAGCAGTGGCAATAGCTCTGACACCTTTTACAAGAGTTATGTCACCAGCAGCACTGAAGACGAATCTGCTGAAGCTGAAGATATAGAGGTAAAAGCAGGCAGATGACAGGTCAGGCAAGGAAAGAAGGTTCTTGTCTTATTAAGACGTAAGTCACTGGGGAAGGGCACAGAAGGAAGGTGGGCAGTGGGGTCAGAGCTGAGGTGGGTAGCTTGCTGGAAGTAAAGGAGGCACGCCGCCCATCTAGTCTGGAGAGCTTTCTGTCTGGATGGAGGTCTAGGGTCCAGGACTTTTCATCAGCACAGTCACGGTGCTCGCTATGGGAAGAAATACAGGATCCGTCTGGGCAGCTTCAGGTCCTATGGCCATTGTTTTGTACCCAAGGAAGGGCTTAGCAAGGAGAGTGGGGTGGAGGGCAGGTGCATCCCAGGGCGCCGTCATTACTCCCCCACCCTCCACAGCACTTTGAGGAAATGGTCTCCAAGGTGCTGGTCAAGCTGCAAGGGGTGCAGGCCATGTACCAGTTCAGCCAGGAGGAGCACGACCTGCTGCAGGAGAGGATGAGGAAGCTGCTGGACAAACAGAAGCTGCTGAAGGAAGAGCTGGATGCCTGTGAAAAAGAATTCAAGGAGTGCATGGAGGGCCTTGGGAGACCTGTGGCCTCCCAAAACGACAAGAATGAGGTAACTGCTTTCAGGGAGGCAGGGTTTCTTGTGGGAGACCCTGGAGCCAGAGGAGGTCGTAGCCATTCAAAGAGGCTGAGGAGAGAGGGTCAGGAGCTCACTGCCCCGCTCTCTGCACGGCTGTTCGCTTCCTGGTCAGATGGACAGAACAAGGACTGAGTCCCGGGAGGCCAGCCGTCTGCTGTGTTGCTGATGGATGTTTCCCAGGTGCCCACAGTACTGGCATTCGCTGATCATCAGGACCCTTTGAATAATTTTTTCTTTTTTCCCTATGCCACTTCTGTTTTCTGTTTTGCTCTGTGTCCTACAGCACTTCTGGTAGAGTTGCATTTTTTTCCCTACCTGTTTTCTTTAGTTATTTTGTGTGTATTTGTCTTTGTGTCTTCAACTAGATGGTAAGCCCCTCAAGGACAGGGCCATGTGTCCTTCTCTTGGATCTCTCATAATGCCAAGAAGAGTACTCTGCATCCGCTAGCAATGGGACGGAAGGCATTGTCTCTGACCAAGAGCAGTCCACAGTCCAGTGGGGGTCACTGTGTGCACATGGGAGAGGCTCAGAGCAGTAGACACGTGGGCCTAGGTTGCTTCGTATTGGTCCTTGCCAAGGAGACCCTGGTGTGCTGCCAGAAGTCGGGAAAGAGAACTGGAGACTAGGAAGCAGGGTTGGGACTGGCCTCTTTTTCCAGGAAGAGGTGCAAGTGCCCAGGTACATTCTCAGGAGTGTACGATACCGTTCCTTAGATGATTGTACTTAGTACAGAGAGAAATAGCTTGGGTGAAGTAAGAGTACCCATCAAAAATCACGATAGAATAAACCCTGAGGTTCAGAAGGGGTAGCCAGATAGTTAGTTATTCCCCAGACAGATCACAGTAAAGATGTAATTCAAATCATCCTTTTTGGATCACGTTAGATATAAATGATCAGATACCTCAAGTTACGGAGGAGCTCTCGGTAAAACTGCGTTAGAGGATCATTTTCCACCGTTTTGTGTTTTCTTTATTATCTATTTCCCCGTGAGCTCCAGCAGGGACATTTCCGAGGCAGTGACCCCCAGGCAGGGCCCAGGAGTCCCGCATAGGCCCGGCTGTGGGTAACTGGCCCTCCACTACCAACAGATCAAAGAACTCCAGACCAAGCTGCGGGAGCTGCAGCTGCAGTACCAAGCCAGCATGGATGAGCAGGGCCGGCTACTGGCAGTGCAGGAACACCTGGAGGGGCAGCTGCAGTGCTGCCAGGAGGAGCTTCGCCAGCTCAAAGAGAAGCGGTCTTCTGTTGCCAAAGAAACCGAGGGAAAGAATAGCAGTAAGAACTTGAACAAGAACGCCAATGGGGTTAAAAATAAAAAGGCGTCCAAGGCAAGCCTGCAGAGTTCTAAGGGCAGCTGTGAGTCTGAAAAGGTGAGTAGGACCTATGCAGCCAGATAAGCAGAAAGGTAGAGGAGATCCTGGGAAGAAAAGTCATCTCTGCCACCATTCTGACCAGGTAGGCGTTTGTAGAGAAGCTCCTGGGGTCTCTAAGGTGTCTAGAGTAGTTTCATCTTAGTAGCAATTGGCTACTAAGTGGTGCCCCCTTTTCCTGTGAAGTTAAGGGGAGAGTGGAATCCAGGCCACTCGTATCTGGAGTTACAGCCCCAAAGGACCACAGCCCCTAGGCTGGACATCTGCTTCAGTTAACCTAGCCCAATTCTCTGGGGCCCCTGTTCTTCCCGGGTCACACGCCCAAGAGAAGGACCAAACGGATGAAAAGAGGAATTTATTCCAAGCACTTGTGCGCACATATGTGAAAGAGGACTGGGCAAAACAGGAGCCGCCACGTGGGGGTAGGAAGAGCAGTCGAGGTGCAGAGCTCGAGGATCTGGCAGCTAGCCATCTGGAGTGGCGAATGGCCGGCTAGACGCATCGCCCCTGGAGCCTGGGCGTGACTGCCCCCCACACTGCTTGCAGGGAGGACCATGGGTCCCAGATGCAGTGCTGGGAAGCACAGTGTTTTTGAGATAGTTCAGCACGGCCTCGAGGGCACGGATCTTCCCAGGTAACAGCATCCCCTGTCCTGCCCCACCTCCGCCCCACAGAGTCTGGAGGTGGTGCTGTACTACAAGGCCAGCCACAGGGATTTAGATGATCTGACAAAAGGGGGAAAGAAAGAGGATACGGAGGACGAAAACAAGGAAGAAACTGAAGAGGAATCGAAGGAGTCCTGGGATGAACTAGTTTCTGAGCCCCCAGACCCGACAGAAATAAAGTCCGTAGAAGGTGAGGAGGGCCTCGAAGACTCCCAAGACCAGGAGGAGAAGGAAGAGGACGACAACTCTTCCCCTGAAGCTTCAGAGGAAAACAACCCCCTCAAAATTTCTGAGAGCAGAAAGGTAACCGCAGCCAAAGGCTGGATCAAGTGGGAAGCGGGCCCTTGGGCTCAGGCGCCTCAGTGTTCAGGGCGACCCAGCCCCAGGATGGACTTCTATGGGTGGAGAGGCCAGCGAGCTCTGAGGCATAGCACTCGGGGAAGGCAGAAATGGAGCCAGGTTTGGAGAGAGTGGTCTCTCTGCGGGAAATGGCAAACATAGGCCAATATGCCATGGAACTGTCTCGCAAAGGCCACCTTTGCTGGGAACCAAGGTGGGGTCATTGGAGTCCTACCTGATTTCATTTGCATGGTACCCCTGTGACTTACGTCAGGAGGGAGGCTGACAGAATGAGGCCTTCCATCAGCCCGCGGCAGTCACTCAGTCCTTCTCCGTGGTGCCCTGTCAAGTTTGACCTTTGTTGTTGCTATTAGGAGTGGGTGGGGGGCTGGCATCATCCACTGGGCTCTATGAGGCATGAGGGTGGGGGCCTGGGTGATCAGAAGTGGTAGTCAAAATAGTTCTATCCGTACAGCAGGGGCATTGATCAATCCGGGGAGACCAGCCGGGACCCTAACCTTTTAGTCGCTGGATCTTGAAAGGCTGGGGTGGGAATGTCCCGTACAAAAGCGTGTCTGCGTTTTAACAACCGATACATTGGTCCAAGTACGTACCAGCTGAATCCCTGCCGTGGTTGAGGCCAACTGGGGCTCTGGCTCTCTGAGGAGTTCGAGTCCTTCCCGAATAAGCCCTCAGTTCACAGGCCAGGTTCTTTCTGCCTCTCTAAACGTAGGGGAAGAAAATCAATCTCTTGTGGTGGGGTGTCCAGCAAGCTTTAAGGCTATCCGGGATTTTCTGGCAGTTCGGTCTGCAGCACTGGCTTCGGATCCAGCGTGCAGCCCTCTCAAGCTTGTGGCAGACCACGGCTTCGGGAGCTGAGAGCGGGAGCAGCCGCAGCCTCTCAGTGTTGTATTTCTTCGACTCCATCGTATTCCGCCACATTCTGGTTCAGAGCCTCGTAGATTTCCTGGCCTTGGGTGCCACATTTCTGAATGCCAGACCTGATTTTTTTACATCGAAGTCGAGCACATTCTTGGCGTCAGCATATGAAGGTGTCCTTTCGGCGCGGTGGGTCCTGTATCTTTTGCAGGCATCTCTACTGGCAATGTGTCACCGCCTGCAAACTCACTTTCTCTCTGGAAGATTGTTGCAGTGAAAGAACTAGCTCTTCTCCGCTGTTAGCTTGTTTGAGTGCATTTTGTCTCTACCACAGCATTACACTCCTAGGGCATCGTAGGGACCAGTGCCCACAACACTGAGGGACTTGATGGAAAGCAGCCAGAACAAGGGGCCAACAAAGACATGTAGCCGGGCAGGAGACGAGTGCTTCCTAGGGTGGCCCAGGCAGAGTTTACATCGTACTCATCTGCAGAGCCCAGCTTTACTTTGCCAGAGATTCACCGTTTTAGTTACTGACCTATGGGAGAGGTCTAGGTGCAGATCACCCCTGCTTAACAAAGATATGAGAGGGATACAACAAGCCAGAAAGCCGGAGCCATCGCCTGATTGGGACCTCAGCTGCTGCTAAACCCATTTCATTTTGCATCTTCCGGAGGCTCCCGGTGGGAAGAACCAGGCCCGGGTAACAGAGAAACATTCTGCCGCTCCCACGGACCACTTGTTTAACCTCTGATCTCTCTCTGTTTTCCCTTTGTTTTCTCATCTTCGTTATCTGTTGGATTCATGTGTGTTGTGTCTTTTTGCCACCTCTCATCTCCTGGCCTCTCGTTGTGCTTCTTTCTCGTTTGATCTGTTGCAGCCATCCCCTGCCCCCAATCCCCCCATCTTCTCCTTGCCTCTCGTAGGCCTGGTGGTCATATCGGCTTTGCTCTGGTGCTGGTGGGCCGAGACGTCGTCCTAACACAGGTACTGGTATTGCGTCTTCTCCTTCGGAGGGATAGAGGGAGGGTGCAGGTTGCCCTGGCCTCTTCTCTTT